CTTGATACACTGGAAAAGACCAAGATAGGGTTTCTACATATATTTAGCAAACAAATGAAGTTATTTTCAACAGTCTTAGGTTTTCTTAGGCAATATTAGAACTGCCTGCACACTACTGGTTGGTGCAAGAATGAAAGAAAACCCAAATCACCATTGCTCATTTTGTTCCGAGACAGCCACCACAGAGCTGCACCTACCACTCTACAGAGAGAGTTCACCTTCAATGCCATGCTGTGCCTACCCAAACTGTAGCAGTCACCCACTTTCACTGCATAAAATGGTGCTTTATTTGCAAAGATTTAAATAAAGCTGTCTTTGTTCATGAAAGATCTCTATTCTTTTCAGGAAAAGGCATGATCTCATCATTCTGATATAATTGTCCCATTAATTGTGTGAAAGAAACTTTGCATTGCCACAGCTGAGACAGATCACCCAGAAGGTGAATCTGAGAGTCTAGAGGGATGTTTACAATTTACCTCATCAACAGGAAGAAGAATATGTGTCATTTAGCTATTCCCTACAAGTAACAAAGCAAGCAAAATCAGCACGGGGCTATGCTGACATCAAGATGCCATTCAAAGGGTATCCAGCCCCAACAGTGTCTCAGCCTCATAATAAGCCTTTTACGATCAGTTGCCTGAAAAATTCCATCTCAGAAAGGGATTAAAGATGTCTTTAAGCCAGGAACATTGAGCTGCACCTTCAAGGACACCTTATTTTAATGACTAGCGATGGCATTTTCTGCTGCATGGTCTTGAAGTTCTGCAACAGACATACTACATGTAGCTTTTTGGTCAGTTGCAGGTTTTTCATAAAAATTGTTTAGATTTGTAAGTCCCAAGAAAGCAAATTTCAGAAAAAATATGGTATTATTATAGTTGATTTTTTTTTTTAAGGAAAAAAAAAACAACATTGTGGCCATACTATTTATATTGATCTGTTGTAACAGATATTACCATTCTTAATACAGTTTCTGAGCTAGTGACTTTCTTCCAAGTCAATCTTCCTTCCACAGTTCTAGTCAAAGTGAATAAAAGATGATCAGATACAACAGTTGTATGAAAGAAAAATCCTGTCTTTCAATGCATCCCAGTAAGTAGATTGTTTCAGCAGCTTACTCTTGAACTGACATGAGTACTCCAGTCATTTCTAAAACAAACATCACAAGACCTAGCTACAATAGAAATGTGTTACCCTTCAGTGCTTTGAGAGTTTCAATTTATCCAGACTGACAATCTACAGAAGCTTGATGCTGGAATAGCAGGAATGTTGCGTGTGCAAGGATGCTGCACTAAGGGATAAACGTGTTCTGTAAGTCCCACTAAGAAGCCTAAAGTCCTTAAGATTCTACACTGTTCTTGGTGTTTAAAGCCAGAGACTGAGGGATGTGGAGTGACAAGATCAGGCCCATCACTACAGAAGGCAAGACCATGTAAAACACTATTTCCACCACAGGTCCCTCTACTTTTTTCAGCTGGTACACATCAACACTATACCAGAACAAGCGAACAGACTTCTCACCTTTCCTCCACTTCACACTCTTGTAGCCTTAGGATTGCACTCCTACCCTTCTACCACCACCACTTCCACTTGTTTTTCATCTAAAAGCCTGGCTTTGCCTTTTTTTGTTTCAGGGATTCTGTCTGACACACCTGACTCTACAGGCACAGCTGTGTATCTGTTTTTCCTGGATTGACTTCTTGGACTTTGGGACAGAGTACAAATGTATCTTCACCTTCAAACAGGAAGATCCATTTGAGGGACCATGTACTAGTCTGACCTGCTAGATCTTAAGCCTGTATTAACATAGAAAATAGGCTTCATCCTATCTCTGGATAATCAAGTAGGGCAAATTCTTGGCAACAGGGAACCAAAATTTGCCTCCTTTAGACATCAATATTTATGATGTTTCATATCCTGAGATGCACACATTATCCGGGCTAAGCACAGTGGAGCTCTTCCTCTGTAGAGAGGAAGTACTGCTTCCCATGCTAGTAAGTCCTCAACTCGAACATCTTGAAGAACAAATGCTTTAGCACACAGCCTGCCTTGCCTTTGTTGTTCTAGGTGGGGCATGTGACTTATTTCTGTACTGCCTATAGATATGTTGAGAACTGCTGCCCATAAATAGCTAATCTCATCACAGGCTGCTTCCCACCCCCTGTTTAAGAAGCAGGATACCACCTTTTTCACAGACCTTGCCAAGTGATAGCAAGCTTTTTTCTTAAATATTTGTTTTCACGTGCACTTGTGACAAAAGAGTATTTTGTCCAGGTCAAAAAGGGACCAACCTCCGGTCAGCAAGTATTGGTGGCGCAGAGGCACACCCCTTCATTCCTGGACCCTCTGATACAAGTCTTTCACATGACAAGAATCTGCCTAAGCAAGCAGTGTGGGCTTTACTCATCAAAATTATAAATAGGAAGCCCACTGTTCCCCAAAGCAATTGTCAGGCAACTCCCACATCACCAAATTAACAAAAAAAACATCTTAGGACGGGCTTCATGTTATCACTTCATCATGTATAAACTGGATTACTGAGGAAGCACGTTTAAGAACTGCAGTGCACTCCAAGGCATTAACAGATCACACAGCCTCTGCTGTTGAGTTTGGGGATGGGAGCATCTGGGTTTCAACCCAATCTCGCAAATTTCAGAAAAAAATGGTACCTCTAGGTGGGCTGGTATTCAGTCAAGCTGACAAAGGCATCCTCATTCTTGGCACCACTGTTCCAAGCTGGCCTACTCTCCACTCCAGCATGTCCTTCTGACCCAAAAAGGCTACATACTGACACTGCTTTAAGTCACATGCCTATAGGAAGGAGCAGATCAGAAGCAGGGGTGGCTCCTGGCTGTGGAAATGCCAAAAGCAGCTTTCCAAGATGAATGACATCCCCAAGACCCCTGCCCCTGCAACAGATACATTGCTTCTGCCCAAGTTTTGGAATAACTAGTGTGTCCTAAAAAACTCCTCCAGCTCAGAAGAGGTTACAACCTCCACCCTTCTGCTAGAGATTATCTGCTGGAGGGGCTCTTATTACAAATGTTCCACAATCTGTTGCCTTCAAAGCGAGCTGAGTTAACTAAAAAAAAAAAAAAGAAAAAAAGAAAACTTCTTTCTAACCTAACTCATTTGACAGACAAGTTAGCAAATGACAACACACACAACAAACAGATCTGAGCTGATAATCACAAACTGAAAAGATAGTGACAAGCAGCTAAGGGCAGTTATCTCTTCTGCAAGCATAACAAGATCCAGACAGTAACTTCTGCCCATGACTTCATTAAACGACAATGGTCTTTTAAAAGGCAGCTTACTTTCTACACATTGCTAGAATCAAGAAAAATTATATTAGCAAATTAATCATCTATGTTGCTGAAGCTGTTATCTTCTACTTAATCCACAAACAACACTCTCTCTGCACAGCCAAGTGTTGAAGTATCCAAAGCCTCTTCCCAAAACCTTTGTTTAAACGGCCCTAAGAACTTTTTTATTTTCAGCAAGTTAAAATTTTCACCTGTTCGACTCATTCTCTATGGCACCAAACTGTTTCAAACGATTTTTAATATTCCAAATGCAAGCTTCATTTTCAGTACATTAATTTCTATTTCACTCTACTTATATGCTTTTGGAATTACACAAAATAAAATACATCTTTCTACAAAAGACTGGATGAGAATCTCCATGCCATAAGATAAGATCCATGATAACTTCCTTACTGAAGCAGAGCAGAAGTATCTTACCTAGAACCTTTCCAAGAGGGTAACCGCTATACTGTGGCAGCATAGTTGGTTTCATTTCTGGTGACGCTAGTGATTATTATTCTTTTGAGTAATTCTGTATTATTATTATAGCAGTTCTATAAACCAGCCTCAGATCTCTTGAGGGGATTTTTTGTTCATTTGCTTTGGAGTTTGGTGGGGTTTCTTTAAAAACTCTCAAACATCTTTCTTGTTTACAGCAGTACTGAAAACCCTAACAGACCACTTCCTATAAGCCACACAAAGATACCTAGAGCTATGACAGTAGTTCCTCTAAGGACTCCAGGGGTAGCCACAAGGAAGAAAGGTACAGAGAAGCTAAAGAAATTGTGCAAGAAGTATGTGGCATATGGGAGAGACTTTGAAATTACTTCTTAATATCCACCAGCTGCCTAACATGGATTGTTTGAACCCAGGAAAAGGTATACTATGAAGGGGCAGAAAAAGAGGTTTGGAGAAGTACATAACTTGCCTACATTAAATGGTTTATGAAACTAAATGGCAAAAGTAAGCACCAATTGTTGTCCTAGGTATGCAATTGCTTTGAAATTATCCCATGATTTAATTTACTTGATTTCTAAAAATACCAAACCTTTTAAACTACTATTCAGCTACACAATAGGTTGGTAGCCTGTACATCAGCATTCTTTCCAGAGACAGCTTTTAAGCTAATAGTCATATTTTCATGACTAAAACCAGGTAAGAATCTTTATCTCATGATCTTAGGTTATGTTCACATCCTGTTCACACACATCTTGCTTTCTGTTTCGTCACAAGGACAATAGAGCTTAAATACTTTGTACCACCACTTCTGTCTTTTCCTTTAATTCTTTCAGTTCCTTAATTCTTGCAATATTTATTCAGTTTTCAGCTACTGTCAACAACTAAGTGCATCAAAATTTTCCTGTCTTTTTGAATCTATAGAGAGAAAGCTAAGGGGCTTGTGTGAAGTTTAAAAATTTAAAGCTAAAACCATTTAAAGTTAATGCTGTTAGTTCAATTCCTCCATGGCTTTTCATATCAAATATGCTACATTTAGAAGACTTTTCTGAACTGCCAGTACAATCAATTATAAAAACAAAAAATACATTTTTAACTATATTATAGAATTATACTGAATGACAACACATTTATCACTTGGACTTGATCTTAAAGGTCTTTCCCAACCTAGTTGATTCTACGATTCTATATACACTTATACAATCTACATCTGTAAAATTTCTACTTGCTACTGAGATACCACCGAACTATGGGAAATGCCCCTCTGATCCTAATGCACAATCCTACTTTATTCCATAGAAGAAACCATAAAATACACAAAATAAACATTCAAAAGGCATGGTTTTATGACAGATTGTTATAGGTACACATCTGTTTAAATCTTTAGAAAACAAACTTTAATATTTCACCAGATTTGTCTTGTCAGGTCACCTCAAGATTCTGTTATATGAATCTTCCAGCCATAACACTCAGCAAAATAATTTAGAAAGGGAAGCATGTTTGCTCAAGAGAGGCTTAGAACAGAACACAAGGTCCAAATATTCTTGAATTTTGGGAAGTCTACTCCACACTGTTATCTTTATTTACCCTGGAAGAGAGAGAGAAAGATCCAAGAGCTGTATCAATATCAAAGTGAAGAGGATATTTTAATACTTTGCCTTTACACCCAGTAATTTGCATAGAGAAAATAAATCAAGAAACCACCTTTATACCAAACACTACAATGACAACACACCCAAAACCAAAAAACAAAACCAAAAAACCCAGCCACAACCCAATACTAAAAGCTCCTAAACTCTACACAACATACTCTCAGAGTATCAATAGGGAGACACACCCCAATTTACCTGAAAGGAAGAAAATTTTTCCTCCTCTTTTGATCTTACACATGCCAGTGAGTTAAACTACGAGCCTGCATTGCTTTGGCATTCCCTTCCCTCTCCATGGAGGCCCTGGTCTCCAAGTGCTGATAGCATCCACAGGAACAAACAAACAGAAGTTCTGAGCTGAATTTCACACAATTGCTGAAAACCTGTAAGATAAAGGTGAAGAGCATCTGAACAGATTATTGCAAAAGTAGAAAAAAACATGCAATAGGGGGACACAAGATATTTCTTTCTGAATACAGAAACCCCACTTGTCTAGCTATCATCCTTCACTATGAACAAACTTTCAAAGACTGTTTCTCTCTAGTACTCATGAGTCATTTTCTAACATCACGTCTTTGGCGGCTTGAAGCATTTTGAAAGTGGAAAGCAAACAAAATTGCTTTTAATGCACTCATAAGAGGGTACTTCAGGTTTTTTAAAAGCCATTTTTTCTCTATCTTTTAGCTGCTAGGAGGCTTTAAATGGGACCCCTGTAGGTTTTTGTCTGTAAACCATACGAGAGCATAAAAGCTTGGAAAACTTGCAGAAATTCTGAAGCAGGTTCACACAGCTTCATTGAAACTGTGTGTGGTTTTGAAGCTCACCAGGGCTCTACTCACCAGGAACCATTTGAAATGGCCAACTAAAAAAAAAAAAAAAAAAAAAAGATTTAAAACTCATAAAGGATTATGATGAAAACGTAAGACTTATTCTGTAGGCTTCCAGCTTGAAAGAAAAAACACTATTCTGTAAATAGGCAGGAATGGGTTATCATTCTCTAAAGGTTTTTGCAGATTGTTTCTCTGAAACTCTGAAGCCTGAAAAAGGGATCAGAGTAACCTCTGTAAACACAGCCTAAATTAACCTGCAAAGTGATTTACTTGTATCAAAAGAATCAAACTGATCAACCCATTATACCAACACATGGTGGCTCAACTATCCTAAAATTGCTTGCAGGATAGTGATAATGGAAATGTGTCAAATCTTTCCCTGTCTTTGGAGGTGACCCTTCTCAACCTTTCACTTCAGTATCAATCAGAATAGCCAGCAAGAGAAGAAGGCTTGGAAAACCACCACTGCCACCCATAAGTACCATAAGATATGTGAAACCACTTTCATTTATAGGAAGAATCAGTCAAATAACATTTTCTAACACCATTATCTCGTTATCACAACTTTCTCATTCTATATTGTAAGGTTTACTAAAACTTGTTGCTGCGAAAGAAAATGGAAAAGTATTGTTCTGAATGCTAAGGGAGACATGAATTTATCACAATAGGGTCTAATATGGTATTTCTTGTGCATACGGCATTGTCATTGAAGCCTGACAGAATTCTGTAGAAAGATTGCCAGGCTGGATTTTTACTTTACATTGAAATTCTAATAAGATACCAAAGAGTTTTGATGTTTTCTTTCTGATGGCAAGCGGTACAACGACCGAAAAATGTTTTATTTAAATTTGTTGTGGGACTGATTTTGTCACTAGCAGTTGCTTTTAGCTTTTATACTCATAAATTTCATACTCATTGATAGTGAAGAATGCTCAGCAATGCTGTTGATTTCAGGTTAACCATTCAATATGTCAGCAGCTGTGCAATGCCAGGGAATCAGTGTAGCTTGTTCACTGGGATCATAAAGATTCCAGCATCGGGTTGGTCATGGAAGCTTATTTTCCCATAATCACAACAAGCCATAGCATGAATTCTTATCTCAGGAAGGTCTCTATTTCATCTCTTCTGTTAATATATAATGCTTGAAAAGCTGTTGATCTATTTACATAACACCCTATTTGGCTAGAGATCCACTGGCCCACATTAAATGACCAATCTCTCATATGAGTCCTAGCACAGGAGCAGGAGGGAGTAGAAATAAGTTTCCTAAGTCCCTGCAAGAGCTGAGATTTTAAAGAGGTCCCAGAGGTACAAAGAAAAAGGTTCAAACTATGAAGAGGAAACCCAGATGTCTATCCTTGACTATTTGGACTTGAGTGGACAGAGAACGTGACCTCAAATCTAGTGATGGGAAGCAAGATACACTGACCAGGTGCTTAAAAGACTTCATTGACAAAAAAACCCACCAACATACTCCATTAACCTCATGTGTCTGTATCAACCTTCAGTGCTTCAGAGGAAGCAGGGAGGGAAATGAGAAGAAAATAACCCCACCACTACCAATGAAAACAAACAAACAAACATGCAAACCTTTCAGAAGCCAAGGAAGGGAAATTCCTTCCCCAATCCTACAGGTAAATAGCAATTCTGAAGCAGGGCATTAATACAGCAAGCACAAGTGTAATGTAAACAGATACTCAAGTAGTCTCACTTTTTAAAAAAAAAAAAAAAAAGGAAAGAAAGAAGGGGAGAAAAAAAAAAAAAAGAAAGGAGGGGGAGAGTTACTATTCAAAGTACTACTCAAAAAGAGTAAAAGTCTGGAAGAGCACGGCCCATGGCTGGCATCTCAGTATTTCTTTTCCATCATTTAGACCAATTTGACGAAAATCCCTGTAAAGAAGCTTTCATAAGATGGCATTTTTGTGATTCAGTATAGCACCAATATTCCTTTTGAGTTTTATAACTGTTCCTAGAACATTCTTGGCAATGAATTTGAACTTTTTGAAAGAGGTTGCATTTCACTGTAAATGGTTATCTGGTATTCACAACACAAAATAAGCATTTGAATATTTATTGTGAGCACATTGCATTTTAGGGAGAACACACAAAGATTCTTACCACAATTATCTTGTTCCAGCTTTAATATATTAGCTGTCACCTCTTTAATGGATCTTGTGAGAAAGGAAAGTTTCTTTCTTTAACTCTCTTTTCCCCCTGAACGCAATTACCACCTCATTCACGGCTCTTTGTGTCCACCTAATCTCTCTGATTATGTCTCTGACACCACCACAATACTACATGACTGACATACCTGACAGCTGTGACTAGTGACAGAATACTCACAATGAAAACCAGCTCTATGCAGGATGAGTATTACCTACCGCCAGCCTCATAGAACAAACATGGAAGGAAGGTAAAAAAGGGGTGGGGGCATTTCACGACTAGCCTAACCCCTACCGATTTTTCCTCCTTTTAGAGCCAAACAGCATTGACAAGCAGAGCCTCTTTGTACATACCTACCTAATGAACCAATTGTTGGATGAATACAAAAGAACACCCATTAGTATTTTAATTTTGAATTTATAGGGTAGAAAAATGCATGTTTGGAGACCTGACTTACAAGTAGGACTTGATGGATCATTTTGTCTCTCTCCAGCCCTTTTATGCTTCTCCGGGTCAAAACTCCCAGCTGGTGCTCAACTGTCAGATTTAGGCAGGTGGCAATAGATGAGAGCCTGTGAGGAAAGCTATACCTGAAAATCTCATTCCCAGACAATGACCTGCCACTGGAATCAAGCACAAACTATTTCAGAATTCAGTATTTTGAGCCACAGACATGAAGTAGTATTGCAAGTAATTAGCTACAACAGTAGTAATGAATACACTAATCAGGAAAAATATTAAAGTGCTTTACAGAGCATCTTATGCTTTAAAAAAATACATTTTTTTAATTTCAGGTTTACATTAAAAGCTTCATCTTGTCATGACTTTCTCCCCCCCCCCCCCAATTAAAAAAAGGATGAGAATTTGGGGAATAGGGATGAAACAGATTTTTCTAAATATACTGAATATTCAGAACAAACAATTTAGTTGCATCTTTCTGAGCTCTTGAGCAGCTTTGGAAATTATGCATTCCCAGAATCAGAGAGAAGGGGCAGAATCTTACATATTCAAATTGGAACGTCTAGAGGCAAAATGTGCCAACTCAAGCATCCAGTTTTCAGAAAGGATCAGGTAATATATACAGAAAATTAATCCAAGTGCTTTATATTGATCTGATTTTATATCTAAAAACTGCTCATGGAAGATATTCCTCAGATAATCATACAACAAAAATAAAACACACAAGTTTGAAGGATATGCTTAGGAAAGCTTGGTAATCAAATAGTATGTTATTGACAGCTGAATTGTTCATTTTCTATCTTAACTTTCTTATGCTGTTAGGTGTTCATGCTGTTACTATGGATTCAGCACATTACATTAAGTTTGAAAAGGTTTAAGGAGCAGTTTAAATAAATTAATAAATCATTTAATGAAAAGTGAACTAATGCAGTAAAGAAAAACATCTACTGCAAAGAATGCATACTGTAAAGAAAAACATTCAAGTTAATAAGCACTTTGAGAAATAGCTCTTCTACTGTTAAAATTAACTCCTATTTTCAAATGGGAAGCTAGAATCAATATTTTACTTAACTGGTAAACGTGGTGAGAAAATTGGTATAATGCAAACATTGACACTAAAAAAATAAAGTTATCTTACTGAATATGAGGCACCACTGCAAGCAGGAGGATTCTTCACACAAGTATTTCACATCTGTTTTACTGATTTTAAGACAGGCATGCTCTTCATCTATTCTATACAATGAAAGCAGTAAGGTATGAACTTCTATTATCTAGATTGGAAAGGAAAAAAGTTAGAACAAGATAGCTGTAAATAAAAGTCAAAATATGCAATTACAGCCCCAGGGACAACTTGATCTTATGTCGAACATCCACCGTGTCATTAGCTTCCATGGACTTTTGTTCCCATAATGCCTTTTCTCATTTCCAAAGATGCTACAATACAGAAACCTAACAAATTTCACATACATAAAATACACTACCTACTAACCTTGTAGTCAACTCTGATAGCACCGTAGCCCCCCAACTCCTCTGCAAATCACAGGAGCAAGAATATACCAGCATTTCACCTAGGAGGTGTTCCAACCACAGAAATACCCGAAGTCTCTAATACTCTACTTCAAAAAGCCACCACTACCCTCAATAACTCACTTTATACACCAAAAAATCCTCACAAAATTTTCTTTACCCTTTTAAGCTTTCACACAATCAAAATAATTTTGCAGACAGCCAGGCCTTGATATGCACCTTTACTAGGTTTCCTGAACACTAATTAGTTTCAGATGCCAGGGCAACAATCTCCAAAACAGATCGAAGCACGTGTACGGAATGTATTATAACTCCATTTGTAGTCAATGATGTGAAAACTTTACAAAGCTGTTGAATAATTATGATTACTAATATCCCAATTAGGTTGAGCAGGTACAAAGACATTCTCAGTGTTAGACACTTGATGAATATTTTAAAATCATTTATTTCTGAATTTTCTCTCTAATCTTAAAACCAACAAGTAAGATTACTATAATTACAGAGACATAGTTTGGGATTTGTCTGGGGGTGTTTTGAGTTTGCCTGCTTGGGATATTTGAGCCAGTCTTCCCAGTTTGAGACAAAGAACTGCATCCAACAACAGGAGAAAGCTGAAAAAAGTTTCAAAACTGACAATGACCAAAATGAGAGAAGAATTATGCCCAAAGCTAATTGTGATTCTTTTATCTAAAGTATCAAAAATAGTTTAGATTCCTAATAAAATCTGCAGTCTTTGAGAACAGGTTAGAATTATTCTGTTTTTCTGTATCCCTAAAAGGTACAGAGACAGAGATCAGCCTCCTTCATAGTAAATGCTGGACAACCCAAAGCAAGATTTTCTTGACTAAAAAAGTTTACCACATAGATGAAAGCAACTATGGGGAAAGAGGAAAGGAAGTAATCTCATTTTATGGACTAGGAATAGAAGCAGATTGACTTCCTCAAGACTTTTAAAATCCCACTGATGTTTTCACTTAGCAAGTAAAAATACATTGGCTGAGCTCCAGCTTTTGCACTTTCATTACTGGGGAAAAACATCTACAACTGATGTGTCAGCTACCAGACTTGGGCTTCCACTGAAGTATTCCTCTCTTCCTCACCTTCTCTGTCTCACCAAAAAGAGCCAAATAAAAACTGAAAAAAAACCCCAACACACACATAAATCTTTCAGTTTGCATTGCACACACTAGAGCATATGTTCCTTTCCCTAATTTGCTTTACTCCTATATGACAAGGTCCATGTCTAAAGATGGTAATTATTGCCAGTATGTCCAATGGCTGTTGTAACCAAACCAAAATAGTGCAGAGTACTTAAAGTGGGAGGGTGGGGGAGGAAAATCATGCACAATTTATTCTTCAGCAGGTAGGTTAATTACACATCATGTAGTACTAATCAAAACTTCTGTTAAACATTCATGAAAGAAGAGCTGCAGGAGTAGGACAGCTAAAATATTTGAAGATTACCTATCCTTCTTATATCACTTGGAATCATTTTGATTTGTCTTATGAATACAAGCATAGCAATATAATTCAAACAGCCAAAACAACTGCTGGCACAAGTGCTCTAGGGATGTTCCCCAGCACAGAGTCTCATCGTGGAGATACCAGCCTGCAACTTCCTTTCCCCACTGCAAAGGAAGTCATTGTTATTAGAAATTAATCAAGCAAAATGAGCTGTAAAGAGATGCCAGAATATTTAGCATCACCTGCAAAACAGGATTCCCTTGGATAAGGAGGGCAGGTCATTTGCTTATAATCGTTCTTCAAAATGTCTTTTACCCATAAATATATTTACACATTTATGTGTACAGTTCAGCAGAGAGTATCCACAGCAGTACATTCTACACCCCTTTCCTTCCTTACGTCCAATCCAGGCAGTAACACAGGGAAGAATGCAGAACCATTCCTCCCAGTTGTTCTCATCTCCAGAATTCAAGAAAAGCCCGTAACAGAAGTGTGAACAGAGTCCCAGACAGCAGGCCCACCACAGCAACACCACACAAAGACAATTCTGAATTTAGACCAAATAAACAATTATCCAAAGTTGGGGTTCCTTATTGCAATTCAAAGGCACACTTTTACAAAGATCACTACTTAGTGGGAAATTCTGTGTGACAATACTGACAGCTGTTTCAACTCCTTAGGCACAGACAGAAACAAGGAATCTTTTTAAAGAGGCTTGTTTTATTAATAGAGAAGGAACAGAGGGTGGTCCGGCATCTAAGTCATGACAGTTTAATTCTAAATTTAGAGGCAAATAATCTGGAATAAACTGAAAATCAAAATCACTCTGACAAAAATTTGGGATGTGTTCCAAGAGGTTTTTTACCTTTACAGAAACCAGTGTTATGAAGATTCTTACCAGAGGAGGGACTGTCACCTAACCTTGTGGAAACAACTACTAAAACCACCTCAATTGATAGTAAAATGTACAAAATCACACAGCTCTTATTAACATAGTGATCGTTCCTCCTCAGTGATCCAGGTTCCTTATTAACAGACAGTCATCTAAGGACAATTTCTACTGAGAAAGCAAGGTTGTTGAAAAGAAAGGTAAACTGGTTCAGAAAAGACTACCAGCAAGTTGA